AATGTCATTTTTTTACCGTTTTTAATTTAGATTGCCACAGTATTTTGATATTTAGAATTTGCATAGCGATCGAGGTATTTTTTTTGTGTTTATCGAGATATTTTTTCTGAGTTCAAACCTATCTCATTTGATATTTTATACATTTCCCATCAGTATTGTCCGTGCTTTCTGTCTTACATGATTCTATGTCAAATATTTTACACATTTTCTAACAATAGTGTCCATGCTTTCTACCTTACGTATTTTTATGTCAGATATTTTATACATGTTCCATCATTATTGTCCATGCTTTTTGCCTTACATGTTTCTATGTTAGATATTTTTTTACACATTTTCTATCATTCTATGTATAGCATTTCTGTCTTACGTGTTTCTATGTCAGATATTTTATACATTTTCCATCATTATTGTCCATGCTTTTTGCTTTACATGTTTCTGATAGATATTTTTACACATTTTCTATCAGTATTGTCCATGCTTTCTGCCTTACATGTTTCTGTTCGATATTTTTACACATTTTCTATCATTTTATGTACAGCATTTCTGTCTTACGTGTGACCATGTCAGATATTTTATACATTTTCCATCATTTTTACCCCTACTTTCTGCCTTACGTGTTTCTATGTTAGATATTTTTACACATTTTTTATCATTTTATGTATAGCATTTCTGCCTTACGTGTTTCTATGTCAGATATTTGATACATTTTCGATCATTATTGTCCATGCTTTCTACCTTACATGTTTATTTTAGATATTTTATACATTTTCCATCATTATTATCCATGCTTTCTGTCTTACGTGTTTCTATGTCAGATATTTTATACATGTTCCGTCATTATTGCCTGTGCTTTCTGCCTTACGTGTTTCTATGTTAGATATTTTTATACATTTTTTATCATTTTATGTACATCATTTCTGTCTTACGTTGTTTTATATCAGATATTTTATGCATTTTCCATCATTATTGTCCATGCTTTCTGCCTTACATTTTTATATGTTAGATATTTTTACACATTTTCTGTCATTATTGTCCATACTTTCTATCTTACGTGTTTTCTATGTCAGATATTTTATGCATTTTCCATCATTATTGTCCATGCTTTCTGCCTTACATGTTTCTATGTTAGATATTTTTACACATTTTCTATCATTTTATGTACAACATGTCTGCCTTACGTGTTTCTATATCAGAGATTTTATACATTTTCTTCTCTCATTTCATCTACAGCATCTTTGTATTAGAGTTACTGCAGCGTATTGTGGTAGTCATGTCTTTAGTCAATGGCTAAGTTTTTCTTTCACATAAAATAATATATTTACTTTCAATTTTCACATCCAAAGTATATACTCTAAAGCTATATACACTCTATAACTATATATACTCCAAAAATGTAATTAATTTGATTTTTCTTTGCTATTATACCTGAAATGTCTCAACGTTGAATATTTGATGGTCCTTTACGGAGTATAAAAAGGACGGTCGACATTTTCCCGCACGGAATCACGCCTGTGTACCTTCACGAAGGGAGTTATACTTAAACCTATTAGTTGATTGTGAGACGAGACCTGCATAGTGCGCTGTTAACTAGGGTTAGGTATATACAGTGCATTCCGTATGTTTAAGAAACATGTTCAGGGGAAATTGTTGCCTGATGGCTATCGTCTATGACCAATATATATTCTTACAGAGACCATTGTTCATTATCGACTTTAAAACAATAAATTACTTGCTCGTCGTAGATAAAATATAGTATACAAATATTTACGCTTTCCCCTTTGCTTTTATTAACGGTTAGTACGTCAATCGGATAAATAACAACTCATATCTATGTCTAGTAATATGCGTTAGTTGGTTTGAACATAATTTAGTGATGGTAAAGAATCGTTCATTCAATTATATTTGAATATATTTGTAAAATTGTTGTAGACAAAATATAGTATGCAAAAATCAAAAAAAAAAAATAGTCATATTGGATGTTTATGTATAGTACTGAATGTTTAGATAAGACTTTTGGCTAATTGTACGTTTAGATGAGGTCTGTATGTATATTAGTAAGCGCTTAGCTGAGACCTTGTCGAATGGTACGTTCAATGGAGACTTGTGTATAGTAGTGCTCATTCAAATGTTGCTTGTAGAGAACATTTAAGTCCTTGTCGGTTTGTAATCATCCAACTCATATCTATGTCAACTAATAAACGTTAGTTGTTTGAACATAATATATGGATGGTAAACATTCATTCATTCATTAATTCTTATATATCTGAATATCTTTGTAAAAATGTTGTAGATAAAATATAATATGCAACAAATCGATACCGCATAAAAATCAATCAATCATATTTGTGAGTTGTCTCCAGTAATTACAGTTCGGAGATACTTGTAATGGCTACCCAGATGAGATTTATATATTATAGTTTAGTAGTTGCTGACCTGCATTTCCTTCGTCTTTCCTGTGGTGTCCAATATAATACTTTTTGTTATTCTGTTGTCGCATATTCTGTGGACGTGTCCATACCAGCGTAGTTGCGATATCCTTCGTTATTCTGTGTTGAACGCACATAATTTCTTACGATTCTTTCATTTGTTACTCTGACAACATTTTGTTTTTCTTACCCATTTTCTTTAACGATTGTTCTGTCCCATCTTAAGTGTAGTATACGGGTGCTATACGTGTGATATGTGTTAGATCGCGGCTGCTGTATGTCTGATATAAGTTAGATTGCTTCTTCTATACGTCTGCTATGCATCTAATGTAAGTCTGATATACGTCTGATATGCATCTGCTATATTTTGTTGAGTAAGACCTGACTACGTGTGTAGAATACGCCTTATGTGTTTAGAAAATCTAACGATGGTTACGTAATAGGTTCCTTTTATCGTCACAACTTCATTATTGTTGTATATCGATGTTCTTATACAATATTTACCTTTAGTGATATACTGTGTGATCAGAATACCCTTACTTAACATCGACGTTGCTCATATGACTTCTAACATCTTGATGTATTTGGTTTAGATTATGCTCTACTATAAATTTTTTGATTCGTTTATACTTATTTTTTTTACAATTTATTTTGTTCGATTATTCAATATTTACAATACTTTGTGGTGTTTTTATACGCCATTATATTATTATTGTTGTCAGATTATGTTAAACGGCTATGTAACTTTATATGCATTTTACATTTTTGTGCAATCCTTTTTTTATGATCTTTCAGCGGTTATGAAGAAAATTGAAGTGTGATTAAATATCCCTACAATGTCTATACCTTTTTACACTGTGTTGAATGGTACCATTATTTTTACATTCTTATTTTCGTCCCCTCGTAAAACACCCCAGTATGTAATGCGCGAAATGGTTGCGCCTACGGTTCAAGCTGGTCGATCCTCTAGGGTTCAATGCCTCATGCGCGAAGCGGTGACGCGTACGGTTCATACTGTTCAGATCTTTCGCGGCTAGCATTCTTTTTTTTATATCCATTATTGCCTACTTATATTAATTGGTTACGTAGCTGTGTGGTTAGCGTGTGTAGCTTCGGTGCTGCTGGTCCCGAGTTCGAGTCCTACATACGGTAGATTTTTTTATTTAATAATAATTTGGATTAATATTGTGTTATAGATAGTAGATAATAGTTGAAATACAAAAGTAATATGTAAATTAATTCATATTAAAAATAACTAATTACTGGCGGTGACAGCTAACGTGAAAAACAAGTTAGGACTTGTCGGTGACGTCATCACGGTGCGTGACCGGAGCGCGGTCGGGGCTTGTGACGTCAGGGGTCAATGGCCTAAGTAGGCTATTGTATCGAGAAGCAGTCAAGCGAGAAGAGTGGAGCTGCGTCGAGAGTGCGGGGGTCAAAGTCCAAAAAGTGGGGTGAAATGGCTTACTATCTACTCTAGCCCATCAATATTTAAGACAGTCGCATAATGTGGATACAAAGAAGTACGATCTGAATGACATTTAGCTGGATAAATGGCCGAAACGACACTCCAAAAGAAGCATGCTTCATCATCGTTTTTGATATTTATGCAGGCGTGCTTCTTTTGGATTGGTTCCGGTAACCTAATAAATGATGATGCCCCATTTCCCACATCATATTTGTTAATATTGACTTCTAAAGAAATAATTTTTTTCAAAGCCTACCCTGATCCCTTTTCTTCAAATTCTGATAGCTTAGACATTAATTTATCGACTATGTTTGTGTGAAACCATAAAACCAAGTCCGTTCCTGCGTCTATGGTTTCATTTTTGGTTAAAGGTTTTTTTGTTTAAGCGATTAAACGTCGTTCTTATTGGTGAACGTTGACGTGTAGCTTCGTTAT